ACACACAGTGCCTTCACGACATGGTGGCGGCGGCAACAACAATACTACAGCGTGAATAAAAGTTACGCCTTCTTTCTTTGCGTGAACGTTTGGGCGGCGTTATGCAAATCTTCCGAGATCGTGACGTAGGTATGTGGGGGTGTGTTAGAACGAGCCGTTTTAGGTAGGCGTGGCTGACTCTTAACTTTTATAAAGAATATCTCTTTGGATTTGAGACTTTAGTCTTTGCAACTTTACAGATCTTCTTTATGCACCAAGAGCTTGTAACACTCCAAAGAGAAAGGAAAAATTGAAATCGCATCATATGACCCCTTTAACTGAAACTAAATAAAATATAAACCTTAAAGTTATTGTATTTCAGCTGGTTGCCATGGCAACATTTCTCATTTTCATTTTGCTTATCTTGATGTACAAAAATAAGACTTTTTATAAATAAGAAATTTTATAAAATTAAAAAACTAAACTAAAATTAAAATTAAAATCGAATATATATATATGAGAAAATATACCGTATTGTCCCGAATATAAGACGATGTTTTTTTCTTGGAAATACATCTGAAAAAACGCGGTCGTCTTATATTCAGGGTCTAGACTTTGACATGTCAATAATACACCCACAACAATAGGTGGCGCCAAATACGCATAAAACTAGTGTGCCATGAAATACGTAATGTAATGCGTGTTGTAAAAATCGTGAGTAAAAACAAAAGGTTAGCCTGATGGCACCAAACTCCCTTTGTGATTTTAAAACGTAAGACAGTACCCAGATTTGAAGACTACAGTAAGATTTAACTTCTACTGTTAATAAGATTTTGGTAGGCTACCATTAGATGGATAGCCTAAGTCCTAATTCAGATGGGCTACCACTGTCTTACGTTTTAAAATCACAAAGGGAGTTTGGTGCCATCAGGCTAACGTGACAGTCACGACTCATGCAGCTGTAAGGTTTGTTTTTATTCGCGATCTTTACAACACGCAGGTCGTCTTATATTCGGGCCAATACGGTATGTGAGATTTCTGGGGTCTTTTTTCTCAGGAGAAACATCATGCAGAATTCAGTAAAAGTCTCCATCTACCCTTACATCTATCTAGGAGAAACAAATGAGATATTCCTGTTTGTGTCTTCTTGTCAGGTGAGTTTGACACGCTGGTCAACGAGAGTCGAGAGGTCACGCACGATGTAGACAAGATTCTGATTCACAAGAACTACATGGCTGACACCTACCACAATGACATTGCTCTCATCAAGCTCAGCAAGCCCATCAAATTCACCAAATTCATCATCCCTGCCTGCCTGCCAGAGCGCGACTTCGCCGAGCGCATACTGATGCATCGGGAGGATGGCATGGTGAGTGGCTTTGGTCGCGTGCGTGAGGGCGGCCTTCAGTCCACCATCCTCCAGAAGTTAACGGTGCCGTACATCGACCGCGCCAAGTGTATAGAGTCCAGTAAGTTTAAAATCTCCAGCCGGATGTTCTGTGCCGGATACGATCAAGAGGAGAAAGACGCGTGTCAGGGCGATAGCGGCGGGCCGCATGTGACACGCTACAAAAACACGTGGTTCGTCACAGGTGTGGTGAGCTGGGGTGAAGGATGTGCGCAGAAGGGCAAGTACGGCGTCTACACGCAGGTCTCCAAGTACATCATGTGGATCCATAATGCCATGTCAAAAGTCATGCCACAGATGGAAGCTTCTATAAAACCCAGAGCAAAGCGAGAGCTGCTTCAGAAGACACCCGTACGAAGAGTCTGAAGTAAAAATCAACACCATTTACTATCTTTATTCATTTTGATTCACCAAATTCAAGATTCATCATCTGTATTGATGGTAAATTTGTTAAAATTAATTAAATTTTATATGTTTTCAATAAATCTAAGTTGTATGTATAAAATACCATTGTCTTGTACAATTACGATAGAAAATATTTTACTATTTGAATATTTAAATTTACAGAACCTTCATAAATCGAATAACAACTTACAAAAGAAAAACACTCTCAAAGTGTATTTTTATTCATAAGGTTTTATAAGTAGAGTTAAATAAATCTGAATTTTATATGGTACATCGCCATTTTGCTCTGACCAAATAACATGAAAGCACCTGATGACATAATTACGACTTGCCAACTCATTAATACGAATTTTCCGGGAGGACTTGAACGCAAAATAACTTGCTCCGGTTATGAACAATATAATAAAATCCTCATTAATAAAGTAATGTTATTTCTAGTTAGATCTTGTTTCGGTCTGAAATATGTCACATTATGGAGGGTTTGTCAATGCTGTTGACTATCATCTAGATGAGATTTCACAGTTTTTTATAAAGACGACCCTTGATTTTATAAACTGTTTTTATTGTATTTGTGTCATATAAAGTCAAATGTGTTTCCTGACAAGAAATAAAGTTGACAGAGTCTATAAAACCCAGAGAAAGACAAGAGCTGCTTCAGAAGTCTGACGTCAATGTAAATCAACACTATTTACTGTCTTAATTCATGTTGATTATTCATCAGTGATGATGTTATTCTACAGAAAAACATGTTTGGCTTCTTAATCTTTTAATTTACTAACTATAAACCAATTTAACCAAACTGGTGTGTCAATGCCGTTTCATGCTGACTATAATCCAAATGAGATGTTTCACAGTTTTAATTAACACGACGCTTGATTTTATAAGCTGTTTCTATCATATTGGTATCATATAAAGTCAAATGTGTTTGCTGACGAGAAATTAAGCTGAGAGCGTATGTGGAGGTTTTCACAAACACACGGATGAAGAGTTCAGAGGTCGTGTTGACGGTCTAGTCTAGAGTCCAGATACACAGTGCTAAGCACACAGAGACTCTCAAACACAGCAGTCATTATCTAATTTTCGCAATTTACCATTTAGACATCAAACAGAAACACTTTAATGAATGAATATGACTCGCTCTTTTAACAGTGTTTAATCACAGCATGTTAATGGGCTGAAAGCGCTGACGTCATATTCTGAACATCTTGCGTGTGTTAAATGTAGGCTAGTAGTCATGTACAGGACAGAGAGACACATGTATCCTGAGAAAGACGCTTTTTGGAGATGAGCTTATGTTATTGACCGTATTGACTGTGGGTGGGGCTACAGACAAGCGGCTGATCGTTGTGATCAGTGACTGACTGGCATCGGGATCTTCTTCTGATTGATCACGATGGAATCACTCATTTGTCGGCTGCTGTTCTTCACGCTGATCGCTCATCATGTATCATCCGCAGATCAGCACACAGGTGAGAGATCGACTGTCAACTGTATGTCACTCTGGACCTATAGAGTTTTGCTCTATTTAAACCAGTTTGATTTGAACATTCACTGCTAGTGTTCCTCAAACCACAGAGATTTAAGTGTGAATTTTTTTAAGCATGCACAGTGTGATGTTTGTTGAAGTCCATGGTGTGTTTTAGTGTTTCGGTCCCGGCAGCGGGCCAATGTGCTACTGCTGCGCTCCAGAAGGGCCAATGCATTTCTGCTGGAGGAGATCCTGCAGGGAAATCTGGAGCGCGAGTGCTTTGAGGAGAGATGCAATAAAGAAGAGGCCAGAGAATGCTTCGAGAACGACCAGAAGACAGTACGGCATCTGATGATCATCACACACATATCACTGATCAGTGTATATATAATCAGGGCAGTAGCAACTCCAATTTGTTGGGGGTGCTAATAAAATAATTGAATTGTCTAGGTAATGAATGCCTAAACTGCATGTAAACAACATGCCGTTTCAGTAATCTAAAGTTGTTTCGATACAACACAGCTTCTAAAAGACCAGGGTTTCTGCGGGTCTTTAAAAAATCTTAATGTGCCCTTCCACAAATTAAAGTCTTAAATCAGAGCAGAAAGTCTTAAATTCATTAAGTCATAACATTAAATGCTGCATGCACTGCAAAAAAAGAATATCTTCCTCAGCATTTTTGTCTTGTTTTTACATCTAATCGTTAAATCAAGATACATTTACTTGAGATGCAAAATGAATATCGTATGTAATGAGGAATGAAAGATTCCCTTTGAATTTTCTGAGCCCACTGGCAGATATTGTTCTTGTTTTAATCATAAACTCAATTCACTTTGATCAATTTCTCAGAAAACAAGACTTATTTAATGTCATTTTGCTTCACAGATAAATGTATTTAGATTTGCACTGCAAACAAGTAAAAAAAATACTGAGGAAGAACATAATTTTTTTAAGATAATGCAAGTTATTTCCACATTCTAGTCAGTGTTTTGTGAGCAGAAATATTCAGAAACAATTTTTCATAAAATTAATTAAAACATAATGGAGATCTGTTGGAATTTGTATTTTCAGACTTCACAACACACTGTTCCTTAACATGTCTTTACTTTGTCTTTAAAAGTCTTAAATTTACTGTCATAAAACCAGCAGAAACCCTTAAGACATGCAGGGGTTGGAGGAGAGCATCATCAATAACTATTTTATTTAATTTTCTATCTAAACTATACATTTACAAGGTCACAGTGTAAAGTGTGCAGTTATTAAAAGGGTTAGTTCACCCAAAAATGAAAATTCTGTCATTAATTACTCATATGTTCCACACCCCTAAGACCTTCGTTCATCTTCAGAACACAAATTAAGATATTTTTGATCAAATCCGATGGCTCAGAGAGGCCTCCATTGACAGCAACGCCACCCAAACTTTCAAGATCCATAAAGGTACTAAAGACGTTGATAAAACAGTCGACGTGACTACAGTGGTTCTACAATAATTTTATGAAGCGACTAGAATACTTTAGATAGAAGGGGATCACACATTTCTAAGGGAACAACAGGGTCCCAACATAAAGGCAACTGACCAAGGAGGCGCCAGAGATGGGCCTAAAACTTAGTTCGTTGCAAATGGGGTCCTTCGGGAGCAGCGCTCTCGGCTCTCAAGCTGAGGCGGGCCCTTACAGCACATACTGGGAGCGACTCATAGCTAACCCTCACAGAAAGGGGAGCACTTCTCAGCTCAACCAGAAGGGGGCATTAGATTAGAAGGGGTAACCCAGCAGGGCCCAATAAGAGACAGTCCACTGGTGCAGCTGGACACGGTCTCATGCTCTCTATCTCAGTAGAGAGCATGGGTCCCGTGGCCAGAGTATAGGGAGCATGTCGCAAAGCATGTACTCAGAAGAGTACTAGCCCACAAGAAGGACCCGCAGGTCCTGAGGTTGCAGCGTTATACTGGGGACCTGATGCTGGGAGGCTTCTTCAGAAGTCCTGGAACCAGAACCGATGAATGAAACCATCACTGTAATCGGTCAACAGCAGGAGGTCCTGAGTTAGCAGGTGGGTCAAACCTAAAAGTCAGAAAAACAGAACAGGTCCGAGTAGCGCTGCAGAGAAAGGCTAGCATCAAATACACAAGAACTAGCAGTAGAGTAGATAAAAATGGATCGTACTCGCCAACCATGGCTTATCCACCATACTCACCCACAGATGTCTCTCCATAACCACCATGGCCACCATGGATCTGCCAATGGCAGTGCTTAATGGCACAGAGAGCAAGATCCGTGGTGCGACGCAACTCAGCCACCTCATCAGGGGATAGACCCTGAGGTATCAGAGCAAAGCCTCTGGCGAGAGAACATGCACTCCTAGTCGTGTTTAGCTTAACACTAACATAAACAAACGGTCAGTGAAGACGAAGAAGAGGATGACATGTTATCCCGGCGCCCTTTTACACTGTGATCACGCAGGGTAATGACGTCATAGGCTGTCGTCGGCCAATGTTATTGTGTTTTTAGATGTATGCTTCAGACACCGGTCACGCTGAAGGCGTTCCCCATAGCGACCCCTAGAGGACGCATTTCGAAGTTCCCTCGAAAGGAAGGTTTCAATTTCCGGTGTAGGTATTTTATACTAGCATTATTTTACTGACAAATGTCGAGAGTGCACTGTTGTAAGTTAGAGCGAAAGTGCATTAATATGATGCGCGAATCTCTCCGCTCGCACAACAATTTCCTTTGCTCTCGCACAAAACCGGACATGCGCTCTCAGATATACGCTGCTCTTGCCCAGAGTGTGCGCGCACTTAAATCGTGTCCGTTGCAATCGCGAATCTCTGCTCTCGCTCAAAGTGTGCGTGTGTGCGCGCTCATACTGTGTCCTGTGGAGATGGTCCTCACTGCAGAACACAAGATCCAGGGGGCGAGGTTGGATCCAGATCCAACTCCTCCCACCTTACATTAGGGGCGGGAGAAAAAATCGATCCATCGATGCATTGCGATTCTCTCTCCAACGATTCTGGATCGATTCTGAGAATTTTGGAATCGATTCTGAGCTTAGTTTTTAAACAGATGCGCGATGACGCTGAGTTTGCTTTAGAAACACCCGTATTCTGCTTGCTTCCAATTTTAGTATTTTCCTTACAAATGCTCTACGAAGTCATCATTTATGTGGTTTGGAATGCAGTGGACTTATATATTTAAAATGTGAACCTCACCAACAGAAGGCTGCTTTCAATTTCAAATGCTGACGCGTGCTTTGTTTGTGAAGACTGCTCGCGCATGCGGCTGTGCGCGACTCCATGGTTTACTGCACTTGCATCTCAAAATGGTTTTATGACGCAAAATTCATGTAAACACAGCCAGTTATGTCTTAAGGGATTAAACGGACAGGACGGCTCATGGATATAGGCTGGAGGCTTGAAGTCCGAAGCCTGGACATTCATGGAATGAAGGATTTAAAGGCAGCCGAGCGCGTCTTGGCCTCCTTAAACTTCACGACCACCGTCTCGACAGAAGTGGCGAAAAGCTCAGAAGGGGAAACCGGCGCATCAAGAAGAAAGCCCTTCTCTTTCGACCCAATATCCACCAGATTCACCCCCAGATGTCTCTCCATAACCACCATGGCCGCCATGGATCTGCCAATGGCAGTGGTGGCCTGCTTAGTGGCACGGAGAGCAATATCCATGGTATGACGCAACTCAACCCAATCAGGAGATAGACCCTGCCTTTATCCACTTTCAGCAGATCAGCCTGATAAGCCTGAAACACCGCCATGGTGTGCAACGAGGCTGCAGCCTGACCTGCTGCGTATGCCCTGCCATTCATATGAGATGTATCCTGAAGGGGTTTGGACAGCAGGGAGGGAGCCTTAAGGGATGATGTCTCCCCCATAGAGAGATAGCAAGCCAGCGTCTCTTCAACAGGGGGCATCTTTTCATAACCATTCTCACGCATCCCCTCGATGTTGGCATAACTAGTATGCTGGAATCTGTGGATGCGGGACAAGAAAGGATTTTTCTAAACTTTCTCGATCTCCACATGAAGATCGGGAAGGAATGGAAGGCTCACCTG